GAAAGACCCAAACTTTCATATTTCACATTATCATTACTCCAAAACATGCTATTTGCATATTCATAAAAGCAATATTTTACATTGATATAAAGGATTTACAAACTATTTGATACAAACCTTCTATTACAAAGTGTTATATATATTACATAACTACCCAGGATATTGTAATTTATACAAACATAAAAAGTAGTACAAAAGTACTATTACAAACTATTCTACATCTTTCAATAGTATGTAAACATACTAATTATTTATCACCTGCAATTGTTAAACATTGATAGGGTAAGCGATGATGCTTAGTGAGTTCAAAAATAGATACAATATAATATTATGCCATATATATACTTCAATGTGGCAAAGCAAAGATGAACAACAAGAAGTATGTGAGATCATGTGACAAGCGTTCATATCAATCAAAGGCATTATTCAAATATATTTTTTTCAATTCTTGATATACATCAATAAAGCTTTGGCCCAATTGGCATAGAAGACATGCAATTTCTGATTAACATCTTGTTAGATTTCAGGCTTATAGTCCTGTCTAACCATTTGCCAATGCCATAGAATAGAAGTCATTCTCTTACGGAGACATGCTCTACATGGCCAGAGGCTACGTACCAGTACCAATGTGAATCTAAGTCCTTTCACTGATCACATGGTCAAAGGTATTACAATTGCTATAAACATAGCGAATAACACGAGAAAATAACTCAAAATGATAATACTGAAAAGCACATAGCACATATAACACATAACATACAATTGTTCCTATATATTGAACTCACCTTAAGTTAACCGGGGGTTAAAATAGTAATTTGGACAGCGCTTCGGCTTTAAATATGCCTTTCTATGTTGAAAACCTGGAGTTTGTTTGAAAACCGGGCTCTACGAAGGTAGGGCTTCAAAACCGAAAAGATAAAATTTTCGGGCTTCTCGGGGGTCTCGGGACGTGTTTCGGGTGCTAAAATTGATTTCGGGGCTTCGGGGAAAGTTAATATGAAGAAAATATGGAAAGAGCGGCTAAAAGTGTCAAATTTTCAAAGTTAGTTGGAAGACCTCGCAGGTTCCTTTATATAGGGCCGAGGTTCGGAAGTCGGCTTAAGAAGCGAAGCTCGGTGGCAGAAGTAGAGCGAAGCAGGTGGCGCGAGAGGGAGGCTCGGATGCGAGGCTCGGCTGCGAAGTTGGTAGGCGCGACGTGGAGGTGCGAGACTCGGACACGAGGGCGAGGCGCGTCGGAAGCCAATTGGCTCGCACTTCGGTCGAATCGCTGAGTGGCACGCGTCGGACTCCGAAAGCAAGCAGCGAGGTAGTTCGGTCCGGGCCACGTCTCCGGTGATGCACCTGCTTCGTGCGAGGTGACGTGGTCGGTTACTATTCATGCGAAAATTTTCGATTTTCGTGCCTTGAACTTCTAAAATCCATAACTTTCGCATACGAGCTCCATTTTTGACGTTCTTTATATGCACGCGTAGCTAAAATCACGCTCTACAACTTTCGTTTAGACATTGTCAGCTAATTTTGATTTAATTTTAATATTATTATTTTTAACAGACCGGGACAAGAAAATCCATTAAAAATTCATAACTTCTTCATCCGACATCCGTTTTTGTCAGACTTTTTACCGTTGTACTACATATGACGAGACCTTCGATTCTTGTTTAGGATGTATCGGTAAAATATCGCTCGATCTAAAATTCGAGTTTTTAGCTGTCTACTGCTAAGTTGAAACTTTGAAAAATCATAACTTCCTCATACGAAGTCAGATTTTGGCGTTCTTTTTATCGAATTTCTCGGTTTAACGAATACTACGACTTTCATTTAGATTACTAAGGCTAAAAAGTAGTTTATCAAAAACTCACTTTTTACGTCATTCGGCGCCGTGCCGGTTTTGTCGCGGATCTTCGGTTGGTCATAACTTCTTCGTTATAACTCGAATTTTGACGAGGTTTTTGCCTACAAATTTCTAACGAGATTCTCTACAACATAAAATAATAAAATTTAACTTATTTAAACTTTCATATTTTTGCTCAATTTCACTATTTGGCTTTTAATTGGAATCTCATAAGACTTCCAATATTTCCTGAGTGATTCTAAACATACTTTTACTTCATTTCTAGTAAAAACCATCTGTTAGAACTCAACACTCAATTTTACATAATATTTCACAATTTTATTCATTACAAAACACGATTTTAGAACGTGTATGTTACAGTAATAGTAGCTAGACTATTAATTAGTCTCGGTGAATAATAGACTAAACTCTAATGGTAATAATACTAGGTTTCGTCGAAGGAATTTTTTTTTCAAGAAGTGAAGCGTTGTCTGAGTTCGGAATCACCACCTTTTCAAGTGAGTGCATAGTTACTTTCATCTTCCACATAGATATAAAGTATTTTATATAAATTACATGTTCTGTGTGCATATTATGTGAGTACTTGTTGTATATGCTAAATGAACGATTTTATACATGTTTTAAATGATTTACACTGTAAATGTATTTAATATCTACGATAATGTTGGGGTAAACATGGGTAGATATAATAGATGAAATATGAGTTGAATGATGAGTTGAGAGGTGTTATAGACCACGAGGTGAGGGTGAGAGGTGGACGATGTGAGAAGCCTTTTTCCCAAATGATGGCCCCGCCATTCAGCAGAGTATGGATGACAACCACGGACTATTCTAGATAGTCCAGTGGAACACTAGCAGGCTCGCAACCTGTAGGTGTTGTGAACGATGTGTTCAAACCGGTGTACTCTAAACCCTGGTGATCATACAGACTTGATGCCTAAACCCTGGTGATCATGCAGACTTGATGCCTAAACCCTGGTGATCATGCAGACTTGGTGCCTAAACCTTGGTGATCATGCAGACTTGATGCTTAAACCCTAGCGACTATGCAGACTTAGTGCCCGTTGTGTAAACCGTGGCAACGATGGACTTTGTGCCGATTCCTTAGGATGATCCTTAGGAATGAATGAACGAGGAATAGCTGATTCTTAGGGTAGATCCTTAAGATTAAAGAAGATAATGGGGATGGGTAATTGGGTTGATTGTTTGATTATTTAAACATAATAATTATATTATTGTGGGTTGAAAATCCTCTGTTACTCACCAAGTTTCCCAACCTGACCCACTCAGTTTATTTATATCACAGGTGTTGATATGAAGTCACATTACACTGAGAGATTAAAGAGATGTAGATCACTAGTGTAAATAAATGTAAGTTCTGTTTATGCTTATGTTTCTGTATTGACGATGACATCCCAAGCGTTTTAAAATAAATAAAATACGTTTCTTCGAAAATATTTTGATAACGTATTTATCGTATTTTTCTGGGAACAAATTCCGCAACATTTTTATGAAAAGAAGTACTATGATTTTTATAAAGCATAAACAAAATCGGTCTTTTCTGGCCGTGAAAATGGGGATTTCACAACGAAGCCGACAATGGAGAGGGAGGAAGAAGAAGATACGACAGTGGCAAGATGAGGGATACAGTCTGAGAATTTCATATATGCCCTTCTTAAACATTAAAATATCATATTTACCCAACTAAATTTCTAAATATCATATTTACCCTTCATAAAACTTCAAAATATCATATTTGTCAATTTAAACATCAAAATATAATATATGCCATTCTTAAATATCAAAATATCATATATGCACTTTTTAAACATCAAAATATCAATGGTAATATCTAAAGTATTTTCAATCTACAACATGATAATAATCAATAACAACAAAATCTAAACAACCAAAATATACATTCTATAGAAAAGCTGGAAGTTGAATCTTTTAATCTGTCAAGATGTCAATATTCCAACAATTTAGAAGTTCACATTCACATTATCATAGACGTAAGGATAATATGATTAAATTTCTTAGTTATTATAATAATTATAAGGTATAAAAATGATTATAAAATATTAAAAACATTATAAAAAAAAGATTTGGGCAAATATGATATTTTGAAGGTTTATGAAGGGTAAATATGATATTGAGAAATTAAACTGGACAAATATGATATTTTGAAATTTAAGAGGGGCATATATGAAATTCTCCCTATAATGAAAAGATATTAGGTCAACATATATTTATTTCGTTTCCTTAATTGAAAGTGCAAAAAACCATAAATGTTCTTTTTGATTTAATTAACTATTTAATTATTTGCTAATTTGTGATTGATGCATTTAAAAACATAATAGTTGCTCTAAACATTTGAACCTAGCTCTCTCTCTCTCTCTCTCTCTCTATATATATATATATATATATATATATATATATATATATATATATATATATATATATATATATATATATATATATATTGTTAGGACACTTATATTTTATAATCTTATAAATCCAACATGAGCGGGGCATTATCATACTGGTAGACAAACTATTTCGTATGGTCATGTTTTTGTATTAAATTTAGACAAAATTGCAAAAATGGTCCTTGTGGTATGTATTTTTTTGGGGTTTCAGTCCAAACCTCGACTTTTTTTTTTTATTCATGGTCCTTTTGGTCTAGTTTGTACGTAGAAATGATCCCCCGACTTAACTTCCGTTAAGTTATTGTTGTTAACCCCCTCATGTGCATCTCACATGAGAGTATATTTGTCTTTTCACATATAAAGGACCATTTTTGCACCTAAAAATATATCCCCTTTTTTTAAAATAAAAATTAATACCTATTTATTTATTTTAATAATTAAAAAATTAAAAAGGCCTCTCTCTCTCTCTCTCTCTCTCTCTCTCTCCACCCAAAACACAGTCAGCAACATATACATAAATACTCCATTTTTTTCTTGATGATGGTCCCTAGAATCGATTTGTGTGTGGGTTTTGTTCCTGTAGATCGATTTATGGGTGTATATCCATCTACAATTTTGATTTGTGTCTGTGTGTGTTTTCATTTTTGAAGGTGTGTTTGGGTTTTGTTTCAACCACCATCCCCAACCCTGGTTTTCATATTTGTAATAAATGTAGCTTTTCAGATCGAGTAAGGGAATAAACGAGTGAGGCGGACGATTGGAGTCTCCGACAATGGCTGGTGATCGTGAGGAAGGGTGGCATCGATCTCCGACGAGCCCTCCTTCGTTGTTCCTTTTCTCGATCCGGCATCAAAACACACATGGGAAGAAGGAAGCTGCAGTCGCTGATCAAAGGGAGTGTCACAGGTGCTCAATCGGACCGATGAAGGAAAAATAAGATCGGAGGTAGCAAGGGTTGCTTAAGCATTGATCTGCGAAGGAGAAGGAATGAAGGAAGATCTGAGTGAAACATGTAAGCTACGACAACAACTTCGGTAAGGAAATGTGCAAAAGGGGGAAGATGCGATGAATAACTGAAGGAGGTGGCGAGGCTGCTCCCCGACGAGTCTCATCGTGGTTTCTTTCTCGTCATCGATAGCAACGATTCGGAAGGGAATCAGAGCAGCTGCAAGAACAACGGTTGAGGTGGGGTGTTTGGGGTTGTGCTTTTTCGACTGTAGGAGGGTTGCAGAGGTGTTGAACATCGATTGCAGTCATCGAGAGGGTTGTAACTCCTCTTGATCTCACCGGAAACAGCCATCCAAGGGTGTGTTTGTTTGCTTGATGCTCGACAGGGGATTTTGGGTGATGCTTCTTCAACAATGGTGTTTAGGAAGAACAAAAGGGAAGATAAAGTGAGGAAGACGAGAGAAAAAGAGAGAGAGAGAGAGAAATACGGTCCCTTAGGTATTAATTTTTTTTAAAAAAAAATAGGTATTAATTTTTTAATTATTAATTAAATAAAGAAGTAATATATTTTTTTTAAAAGAGGGATATATTTTTTTCAGTTGCAAAAATAGTCCTTTATATGTGAAAAGACAAATATACCCTCATTGAGATGCACATGAAGGGTTAACAGCAATAACTTAACGGAAGTTAAGTCGGAGGATCGATTCTACGTACAAACTAGGCCAAAAGGATCATGAATCCGAAAAAGTTGAGGTTTGGACTGAAACCCTAAAAAAATGCATACCACAGGGACCATTTTTGCAATTTTGTCTTAAATTTATATATAAACCACACCATACCAACATATTAGTATAATTTCTAATATGATTTTCAAATAATTTTAGTGAAAGTGATAGAACATCATTTGTAATAATATCAATTCTGAATAGTGTTTTATTAATATTTGAATAATTTCATTGGTTCTTTGCTTTCCATGAAAGAGATATATACTTCCGTACATTTCAAACCTTCCAACAAATCTTTAAGAAAATAATATGATAACAGATAACCCAAATTATGATAAGTTGTTTCATCAGTCCTAAACACCATTGACATCAATATGAGTTAATCATGTCAGCACATCTATATCTAAGATTACCATGCATGATAATAGGTTGTTTGGTAAATAATAATGAACGTCAAACTAAATAAATCCAACCTCTTAAAGTATTAGGTGTGGGCAACAAGGTGCAACATCAAGTTGTGTCACCTCACATGTCATATAAGCAACTGATGTTATAACAACAAGTGGGGAAATGAGCAACAAGATACAACACCAACTTTTTGAAAATAAATATGTTTTCTTTTTTGTTTTTTTTTCGAAATTAGTTTTTTTTTATTTTTTTATTTTTTTTTGCATTTTTTAATCACTAACATGAATATATATTTTATAAAAAAAATAAAATTTTAAAAACAAAAAAAAGACATAATATTTAAAATCTAAAATTACGATTACAATTAAAAAAAAACATAATTTTAAACCTAATATTATAACTAAAATATCATTACTACTAAAACTACATAACAATCATAATTAACCAAAATATTTCTTCCTAATTTGTTTATTCATCGCTTGTAGCACCGCTAGATCAGCAGGCGTTAAACTCTCCTCGCTCGTCCAAAGAATTGACAGCTGATGTATCATTAGTTCTCTCTCTTTTTGCTCCTGCTTCTCATGTGTCTGCATTTCCAGGAACTCCAAATGACGACGTTTCAACTTATTTTTTTTCTTTTATTAATAAATTGTGCTCGTCGAATTTCGCTCTTATTTCCGCCGCTTCTTTTGCTCTCGTCTCCACCTCCTCTGCATGTCTTGCAGCGCGCCTCGCTTTGTCACGTCTGGGCGGTCGTCGTGGTGGGGATATCTCTTGGATATCATCCAGGATCTCATCGTCATCCGCATTTAGGTCGATGTTAGTCCGTGCGTCCGACACGTCGACCGAGCTAGAATTGTGAGACCTTTTGGATTGAACCTTTGACGATGTAGGTGTTTTATTCCACTTTGGATCCGCTCGCAACAAATCCCATGATTTTTCAAAGTCGAAAACATGACCCATTTCAACACGATATTGTTCCTTAGTAGATTTGAACAAATCGAAGTCATTGGTTCCGCTTTGTTGTTGCGCCTCAAGCCGGTTGTAAATATCGTTGAATTTGCTGCACCGCTTAGTTATCATACCTCATTTGCTGCTCAACATGTCATTATTGCGATACGGATTTTTCTTTAAAATAACGTGAAACTTGTCGAGCACCGCCCCCCAATAAGCCCATTTTTTCATTCCATTTCCGCGAAGTTCGTTTTTTGAAGTAGCACATCAAGCCGTCGTCAAAGCGTATTCCTCCTCCGGTGTCCACCATTGTGGAACGTCTGCATTTTCTGTTTTTACCGCTATTGATTTCCCTTTCGATTTTTCCTTTCCCTTTCCCTTTCTTACTACTTCCCGCTTCCACTTGAACTGATGGTTGTGTTGTAGGCGATGGTTGGTTGGTTGTTTGTTGCATCGAACCAAAAGTAGAGAAAAGATTTGGTTGTAAATTTGGGTTTTGACCAAATTGATTTTGTTGAACGTAAGTTGAGTTGGGAAATTTCAGTGACGGTGAAGCGGGATTGAAAGTGACGCCTTGGTATGAGATTTATGGTGAACCTTGAGACGATAAAATGTTGATATAATTTTCATACCCTGCAAATCCGAAAGGCGAGGTTGTGTTTGGGTTTGATGATGGAGGGGGAGTGTTTGGGTTTTGCTCTATTTTTTGAAATTTTAAAAGAAAATATGTGTATAAGATATAGAGAGAATGAGAGAAAGGTTTATAAAAATTTGAAATAAAATGAGTATATATATATATATATATATATATATATATATATATATATATATATATATATATATATATATATATAGGGAAGGGTTCATACGAAAATACAAATAATTTGCGAAAACGCGAAAACAAGAAAAACCTATGATATTATGTCACTTCAACATTATATTTTGGAAAATAATTCATCCAAACGGCCACATCACCCTCATTGTTACTCGTTTTGGCGCATACCGTTCGCTCGTAATGGTTTATATAAGATTCTTTAATTGTTCAAAGACAGTTCGAAGTCTTTTGATTCATTTTTTTAAAAAATATATAAAATTCGAGCTCTAAATTGTTCTATTTAGAAGTTAAAGTTACCAAACAGTCCCTATCCTAATCCATTTATGCATTCTTGCTTTAACTCCGTGGTCAAACCTTACCAAAGAGCCCCTAACTGAACCCATCTTGGACAAAACGTTCATCTTTTAATCCAAAGGACACAAAAGCTCTGCGATCAAAATTTTGTTGAGACCTCAATCCGCACCTTCTAGTATATTAAGTTACTCACTTTATTTTACACGAGCAAATGATCCTTTTAAAGCACAATTTATTTGCTTTTTGTACAATTTGTTTGCCAAAGACTTCACTCTTGGTGCGTACATAATCCTTTTTATACATAGTGATATTGTAGTACAATAAATAAACAAAACAAATTTCAAAATCAAACGTTAAACGTCAAACAATCAATACACCCGCGTCTCCAACTAAAATCGGGTTAATAACCCAATCAAGAAAAAACAAGAGTCAACACCATCTCTCTCTTTCTGTCTCTCTCACCTCAACACGAGTTTCATATGAGATTAATAGTGAAGGAGACATAGGGATGAGTGTCAGCTTCACCGCCCAACCCACCCATGCTTGCTTCTTCGTCCGTTTTCCAAAACGTGCTGTAATTCACAATGTTCCAATAAATTTATATATAAATATATTAAAGAATTTAATGACATGGTTCTGAATCACGTTTTTGAGATAATTAAATGGTGGAATGGACCACTAGTAGAATCTAGTAACCTGTTCTTTCCTATGTTATTGAGGTTTTCTCAGACTAAGTATTAATATTGCAACAGTTTTTATTAGTCAGAATGATTGTGTGAAATTAACCACTCATTTATTTTTATTTAGTTGTTTAGTGGAAAGATGTCAGGGCTACCTACCTGTTGGAACTGTCGCATAGGGTTTCCAGGAGTGTACGTACTTTCTTCTCGTTTTTCACAGATGGTGACAATACAACAGACTGAAATTTATTTTTAAAAAACAAAAGAGTAAACGTTTAAGCAGTTTTTTTGAATCATCATTGTTTTATATAAGAAAAGAAAAGGAAACTGGAAGAAGGGATGTTCGGTTGAAATACCAAAAAGGAAGGGGGCAAGCCGTATCTCAAAATGGTCTCGGAAAATAAGCGGACAGCACAGAAGTGCATCCAGGAAGTGAATACCTGCAGGATATAAAATTGATGAAATATTAACAAGTGATTAGTTAAATGTTAATCTTGTAGGTAAGGGTTATACACCCTTACCTACAGGATTTTTTTTCACTATTTGAAATTTGCATGTTTACAAAAGTATTACAAGTTTTATATGACTTTTGGACACTCACAAATATCATTCGTTCTAAGAATCCTGTAGTCACTGCTAAGAAGTTGAGGCTTTTGCATATAGCTAGTGAGTGTTGGTTAATTTTTATGGGTTTTACTAAATTTACTTGTTGAGTTGCGGAGGAAAAACCAACCACTTTTAGGGCTTGGCCCATATGTGGATATTTTCAGCTCATTATCCCCTTATAAATATACTGTGTGTAATGTGAAACTATAACCCTATCCTAATTTTGAGATTAAAAAGGGAGAGTTGCTAATTGCAAATGGTGTATTTGGGTGTTGTTATTATATCTCACTTATTTCTATTATTTTATGTTTAGCGAAACCAGTATTTGTAAATGTGTTTGTGAGTTAATTGTCGTGGAAGGCCTGAATGGTGGGCGAGTGAGTTAGGGTTACGAGTCTTCCCACGCATGAATTCGTGATCACTGAGTAAGGCATGAAGTTCACTAAAGATAGTGGGTTACAAGGTCTTTGTTTTTGACTAGTTTGCATGAAGTTAACAGCAAGAGCATAGCCATTTTTCATCAAGATATTCAGAAGTTAGGTCTTAAGTGGTGTATTTTGTAGAAGAAGAATGGTGTATGTAGGTATACATTGCGAGAAGTAATACCTTGAACATGACAAAAGGATGCTTTAGATATGGTTGAGATAAAATCAACATATCAAGAATGTATACATCATTGGAGATCCAGATTAGGATTGTCCCTTGTCTGTTTTTTGTTTTTTGATCGACATTAGCAAGGAATTGAGTAGTGGGCAGGAAGTAGTACCCTTCTTATGGACATGCACATCATTGGAGATCCAAATCGGAAGTGGTGGGAGATGTTTGGGTAGATAAGGAATTGTGTTGTCTGTATAGTCAAAGAGGGTATGAGTGAGGAGGAAGGGATGAATCATGGCCTTCTAACAAGCATAGTTGGTTAGAGTAAGAGTGAAGGTAAACTTGTGAGTGCATAGGTGAAGCTGGTGAGTAGAGCCATTGTTGGCAACAAAAGAGGGGAGGTATCGATACAGATGAACAATATACGTGATAATAATACCAAATGATTACAAGAATGAAGATAGTTTAGCTGATTCAAGATAGCTAATCTCCTAATAGGAATGAATTCCATTTTTTACACAAAAGATAGATACCTCACTCCCTGCCCACTACTCTCTTCTTATACTACCTGACATAACAGCTAAATACTATATAAAATGCCTAAAATACCCCCTAATTCTCCATGCCTAGTAAGATGCTCTTTATTTGTTGATTTCCCAAACTACCCTTATCTAAAATAACATGATGTAAACCCTAATTTTTTTAGGGTAGGTGGCACACCTACGCTCTACTACGATAAAGGTCATGTAAATGTGTATTGTACTTAAATCAATATCATAGGTTACAAGAGCTATCTATGTATATATAGAGATGAATATTACACTTAAGCACCCTTTAATCTCAGGTAAGGTAATTACAAGAGTGTCTAATAGGTTATAGCCAGTGACAGAACACAAATAAGACCAAGGGACTTTTTTAGGTTGTTACTTACTATATAGTTAACTGAAGCGAAAAGTTAATAAGTAGTTTTTTAACTATATTTTATTTAAAGTTGCAACTAAGCAAACTTTTGTTTTTAGAGTAAATTACATGAATGGTCCCTATGGTTTAGGGTAATTTGTGCATTTGGTCCCTAACTTATTTTTTTAACTCGGAAGGTCCTTATTGTTTGTTTTTGTTACGCGTTTGGTCCCTGTCTTACCTCAAAAGACCATTTTGCCTGTGATTTTTTAATTTTTTTTAAATAAACCCACCCCCTCACCTTACCTTACCTACCCCACCATTTTTTCCTATTTAAATAATAGTTTTTTTAGGTAAGATGGTGACCAAAGCGCATAACAAAAACAAACAGTAGGGACCTTCCGAGTTAAAAATAATAAGTTAGGGACCAAACGCGCAAATTACCCCAAACCATAGGGACCATTTGTGTAATTTACTCTTGTTTTTATAGGGCTTTATTCAAATATTACTTCCTTTACAATTTTTGATATATTTTTAGCATAAATATCTTCTTAATTCTTAAAGTCAACTACATATTATATGATGAATCTACATATATTTCATGTGTATTAATAACTAATATAGTTTCCATTGAGGCTTCACTTAAATATAAACACAAACAAATAATTTAATCATAAATAAACCTAATTAAGAACCAATATTATTTCCTTATAGATTACCACAATCTCATAACTTACAAACAAATTTATTTATCACTCTTTCTATGCATGAATAGAGAAACTTAAACTACTAAAAAGTTTTATTAAATTATTGATAAAAGTTATTTTTTCTTATAGTTATTGTATTAGTCAAGTTTATAATTTATATACTTTTATAGATTACAATACATATTAGGTCTCAAAGTTGCAAGAAGTCGCTAGAACTCAGAGTCAATTATGATAACTAAACATTAGAAATTTACAAAAAAGGGAAGAAAAAACAGAGTAAGAAATGATGATAACCATTATTAAGATATCGCAAGAAAACTTGCCAAAAAATAATTCAGAGACAATTATTCAAAACTTCAAATAAGCTAAAGATTGACGAGTTTCATCTTGATGAACAATTTAAGAATGTTTATATTAACTGTCTACTTTAGATTTTTGATGTCATAATTTCAACCAAATTAAACTTGTTCATATGGTATTGTTTGCTCATGTTCTATCCCTAGTTATAGCCATCAAGATATGGCACAATATTTGAGAATAATTTTTCATAATCATGTATAGTATATTAAAGCTAGAAACTTTTGGTAGGATACATAGGTACTATATAGATTTGATTTATAAAATGTAAAGATTATATATTGGTTGTTGAGACATCTCTCCATTGTAAACTATTATTATACTTAGGATTGTTTGGATGGTATATCATAATCATCAAATGTATTAGCCAAAATATTTCAAGTTGCTATCTTTCGAAATGTGTCATTATAGTTGTCAACCATTTAGGACATGATAAGATTTTTCTCGAACAATTTTAAGGTTCACAAGGAGGCTAGCTAATGGATCAATTCTTCACCCTTTTCAAGAAAGCACAACGAAGAGACAAGGGAAGATGGGAAAAGAGGCCCAAAGGTTTGGGGATAAGCATTAACCTTTTCTTAGAAATAAGGATTAGTTAATCAACTAGGAAGATAAAAACCACACATAAGGATCGAGATTAGTAGATTACTATGCATAATTTTGATAGCTAGTTTAATATTATAAATGAGCTTCAAATTGGAGAGATTGTTGCCTCGGGAAAGCAAGCCCATTTTTGTGCTTTCTTGGTTTCAATAATTATAGTTGTACGTCTCTATTGTTGAGTTGTGGAGTCTGATGGTTGCAAGAAGGCACATTTAATTCATCCTATTTCATTAGATTGGTTCCTATGGTTTCATAGACTACTAATCTAATATAACTGTATAGATCTTCTATTGTTTTCTAGATTTCATTGTTGAATATAATAAAATTCAACGATTCTCAAATATATTGCTTCGGGTAATGATCTTCCAGGCCCACGTAATATTCAAGGATTCAAATACCTCTCCACACATTCATTCTTTCTAGAAAAAATAACCAATGGTCCATATAAAGATAAATTAACAACTTTTTATGAAGTTTGGTAACCCCAAGACTATGAGCAACTATTAGTTGTGTGTAATCTAAAATTAATAATTTCATGTTGTAATTTGAAGGGAAATGGAAGTAGAAGTACCTCTCCATAACTGGTATAACACCATTGCAAAAGAGAGCTTCTCAGGGATTCCTGATCTTGCATCAGTTTTTCAAGCTCCTGTTTCCGACTCTCTTGAGTTTCCGAATTATATTCAAAATCACGAATCTAATTCACAATGTGAATCATACAGAAAAGCATTACTCAAACTTATCAAATATTATGCAGCAATATCTTATTCAAGAACTCCACAGTGCCTATGAGATCCTTGAATCAGTGTCGCTTCAATGTAAAACAAACAAACTAATTTACAAACTCACTTGAAATCCTCTTTCGCGTGCCTTAATTTTGAAATTGTCAGCATCACGATTGAATAATGTCACAGTATAGAGAGCATACTCATTATCCTCATGTAGATTCTTGGAGGATCTAGGGACCTAGAAAATTTAATTCAGTCAAAATGACAAAATCAAGAAACTGATAAGCAGTATTAAGATCAGAGTGACACTACATTAAAGACTGATGATGATCTTACCACATAAGTTGTTAATGTTTCATAGCATGACAACCAATCCTTCTGGGAAAACTTGGAGACAACAGCAATGAGAGTAACCAAATGTTCTGAAGTGAATATGTCCTCCGGTTTTACCAAATTGGACAGATCACGAACAGCTAAGCTGGAAAATGAAATCGGTCATGATATAGAAGTAGAACAATAAACATTTTTATACTCAACTGTTATTGACCACTTATGAGTCATTGGTGTCAAAAGACATTACTTTTACCTTCCAGTCTGCTTTCTGTTGATTGCATTGAGTTGACTGCGAACATTGTTATACTCAGCAATACGAACCTGAAAAAGTGCAAAACAGGAAGCAACAATAAAGGCTTTACCTACAAAAATGAAAATTACAAGATACAGGGCAACCAATTACCTTAAGGTCATCGTCTATCTTGGCTACTTGCACATGAATACCATCCACAATCTCCTTAAGAGGAGACATTGTTGGATACTTAGCCTCATCCCACACAAATCTACAATCACAAATTCAAACAGATCAAGAACATTCTTTCATCAAATTCAAAAAACACGTACAAGAAATTACTTGGTGAGATATGAATCCACCGGAACCCCATCGACAGTCAAGGAGCTAGCGAGAATTCCCGAAGCCTTCTCCAAATCTTCAATCTGACGCCGTATCTTATGAGAACATCCTTCGATAAACGTATTCGACTGCACAATCGCATACACATCACATCAAATCAAATCAACCAATCCCCTAATTAATATTAAAAACAATTATTGACCTTGAGTAGATCATCGCTGAGGGCTAACAACGAATCGAGTGTACCAACGCGAAGATTTGGGATATTGAACTGCAAAATTATCCCGATTAGTTTCAGCTATGTAAGATAACAGAACAGATCTTTCCGTGCGATGCGATTATGAAGGTCGTTATACCCTGTAGAGAAGAGTGTCGAAGGAATTTTTGGAGATGGATTCTTGTAAGCGACTCCATAGAGAAGTGGCGGAGCTGTGAACGGGAAGAGAAACTATCCAGTACCTTGTCGCCATTGTTATTGAAGTTGTGAGATCACGAACGGAGCTTCTGATCTTCCAAGATTTAGAGGAAAGAGGGAAAGATATATCTTCCTCTTATGATTGCAGTTGGCTGTTGGTTCCTAAAAGTAAAACACTCGCCTCGTTGAATCCGGGTTCGGGTTTCTGCAACCCAATTTACGCTCCCAGGCGACCCGCTAACCGTCAATCTCAACGCTTGTGTTCGATAACCTGGAAATTTTATATTTAGAAACCTCCAAATAAAGAGAAAATCATAAAATTGACCAAAATGGGAAAGATTTTAATAAAATCTTATTTTTTTCGCTTTTTATAAATGTCCGTTGGAGGATGTTAATGTAAACTTGTTTTTTATTAGTTCCACCAGAAAAAAAAAAAAAAAAAATGAATCATAAGAAATTTTAGAGCATCGTAAAATTGTTCACAATACTATGAAATCGATAATTTTTTGTATTTTTTTTTTTTTTTTTCATTTTTGAAGTTTTTTTAACGCTGTGAACGTCGTCTGAAAATCAATTTTATTTAGTGGTGGTTTGGAATAGATTTTCGCACAAAAATAAACGTGTTAGTAAAAATTAACCCAAACTTAAGTTGTACAAAATGTTGGGAATTCTTATTTATTTTATTATGCAATTTGATTTTTAGGATATGATAAGTGACAAATATTTAATTTAATTAAAATATATAGTTAGACTATGTAATGATAACCTAAATTATGTTGAGAACTTAAAAACTATTATGGAGTGCAAGATAAAAATGGTAGAACTAAAGTTATGATAGTTGATAATATCTTTATAGTAACTCTTTGGATGACATGTTTCAAAGTAAATAAGGGAATATAAATACAAACATCACCTCTAAAACATATATGATTAATTTTTCAATCAAAACTAAATTACTAAAATTATTTATTCGCTATATTTAATTTTGATACATATCAAACAAATATTTACTTTTTGTAATTACATACTGCTAAAATCGTTTTAATTCAGACAACAGTATTCAAATACAGCGATTGTATAACAAAAACGATAACAATCTACAAATATTTACTTTTTGTCTAAGGAAAAAATAAGCAACAAAATATCCAAAATTATATGAATACAAGTCAAGTCCGTATTCACATCACATAAATTGAGTTAGCATTAAAGATCGATCCTGATTTTACGATATTAGGTGACATTGCATCCTATATCTGTACAAAACTGTCTCTAAACACATCGCCACGTCAACAAAAACAATTAATTCTCTCGAGTGTTGAAAAATTAATATTTTAATTAATCTACTTTTTTTGTTCCTTCCTCCAGTTGTGTCTTGTTTGGTTCTGCTGGAAAATATTTTATTCCCACCATGTCCCCTACTCTCCTTATCACCTAAATAACAAGCTCACTTTTCACTAAAGCTCCCATAAACCATAACTAAAATTAAAATAATAATAATAAATAAACATAAGTTTATTATTACCTCTAATGCTTTGACCATATTTTCCCTTGTATGAGCAGCCGAAATACAAATACGCGCTCTAGCCAATAGTAGAGGTGTAGCTGGAAATGCAACTGTCACAACCGCAACCTTCACATAAAAAAGTCAACCACACATCATTGACTTCACAAACTTAAATTCATAATCAAGAAATAATAATAAACAATAATAATGATATAAAGTTTAAAGATAAACATGCGCTTACTGTTATGTTAAAAGACTCGAATGGTGGCACCAGAATCAGATCCTCGAGCTCCATTGACAATAGAATTGTGGTTGAGTGAATCACTTATCACCTCCCTGCATAAGTTCCCATCAAGAATGAGAAATTTTTACACATAATAAACTAAGAACAAGAACACATACATGTCTAACCAATACATGAAGGATAGCAGAGTTAGTGATATATCCCATGCCAGTAACCATAGCAGCTGGTTTTCCAACAAAGTCAACCACAACATCCTCCAATTCAATATGCAATGTTGTAGTTCCTGAAAGACAACAATGAAATTAAAAGTAGATACCCATCATCATTGATCAGAATCTCTTACAAAGGAGCTAGAAATGATAAAAGAGAAAAACAAAATTACCTCCTTCCACACGAGAGTATCTCTTCAAAGTCTCAGTTACACGAGGTGTGCAGTATTCATCTGCTGCAGCAAATCCAAGGTAGTTGTATGATCCCAAGTTAAGACACCTACTTACTTTTGTAGTACGCCTGCATAAAGTGCACAATTTAACAATTTATGGCATCAACTGAAACAAGACATATGTTTTGAAAATTAGAAGAGACAGAAAAAACTTAAACCAAATCTAGATTCTCAACTGGAAACTGAGAATGTGAATCCAGCCACTCACTTGAGTGTCTTGTTATTGTCATTAGAAACACGCTCCACCACATTAAACCAAGCATCAGGAGGGCTTGATGTTGGTCATCCAAAGCAATCCTACATATACATAAAGGTATCATGTCTTTTAACTCGTAAATTTATCCAATCATGTTTTTGTATATGAACTTTTTGTATCAACTTGAAGAGTAAAATCTAAGGTGCATACTAATATACCTGTATACGGAGATAGAGGCGGCGGATATAGAAATCTTCCAGTCCTAAACAGATCGGTGCATAGCCCTGATAATATACGCAACATGAAGTTTACAGTATACTAAGGTGGTGTTTGTTTTTTTATAAAAACATCTTCAAACCACTTAATCTTCAAATCACTTATTGTTGCGCGGCGCAGCACATGCGCATCACTTTACCTCTCGCAGCAGTTTGTTTTTTGGAAGACTTCAGATTACAAAACCTCTGCGCGTGTGCTGCGTGACGCAACACTTGACTTGCCTATTCTAACCTCTTCAGCTTTCATTTTTTCTAAGTGTTTTTTAAAAAATTTTGTATAACTTTTTAAAATTTTTTTTTTTTTAAACTTTGATTTTCTTAAATTTTTATTTACGGATGTGATACAATTTATTTTTATAATTTCCACGATTTTTTTTAACTTGATTTTTTTTTACCGTTTTATTAATAATATTTTCAATTTTAGTTGCATCTTTTTTAATGTGTGTAATTTTTTATGAACTTTGTAGACAACGTTTGCAATATTTTCTTAATTTTTTTATATTCTTTTTTAATGTTTTTTAAAATTAGTTTTTTTTCCTAGAATAAAACTATTAGCTTCTTTTACATATTTTTAAGTTTTTTTTTTTTTTTTTTATTTAAAAAAAAAGAGTTTTATATTTTTGTTTTTTTACATGCTCTTTTTATTATTATTTCAATGTTTTAAGACTAGAACTATTAAATTTCGGTGTTGATAACTATTTTTAGTTTATAAAATTAGTTTATTTAAATTTCAGTTTACTGCAGTAGTCTGCAGATGTTAAAAAAACAAACATGCTTATTATTATAGACTGCAGCCGTTTGTTCCACCTCTTTTGCTACAGAGGATTACAGAGGTGGTCTGCAGACTTCATGAATTTTCGCTTCGAAAAAACGAACAACACTTAAGTTATCAACAGAACATTTCAATAACAAAAGGTGGTCAGCGCGGTCAAATATGGAATTGTAATCATGTTCAAGATTGGATCTCCGATCTCCTTCTTGTCAATCTAACGAAGAATGTAAAAATCCTGTCAGCATTATCAATAAACTGAGCCACTGCAAATCGGAGAAACGGACTGTCGGCACTGGCACCGGCAACGAGGAGGCTCTGGAATGGCTGAAAATCCAATTACCGGTAGCGATTGAATCCTCTGGCTTCGGTTGATTTTGTGCTATATTTTTCCGTTCTATTGGTGAATTTTAATTTCAACTTGAATTTGATATCTTGATGCTTATATAGTTTGGGCCATGTGCTTATATAGTTTGATATTTTGATGCTCATGTAGTTTGGGCCATGTGCAGTGGCACGTTTCAGTTTTAATTATATATGGCCCATCATTGTATTATAATTAACATATAATATGTTGACTCAAATAACTAAATTCAGTCTCTTCATGCTTCTCCTTCCATGGTGTGCAAGTAAGTTCGTCAAATAAATTAATAAAAGGTTGCCTGATGATTATAAAGATCACAGAACATACATAGTGTAACACTCCTAGGGGGTGTTTCAAATAAAAGGAAACATAAAAGGTCGTTTTATGAATCACAATGAAAGAACAGAACTATTTGATAAATTACAATTTGTGCAAATAAACATATGACAAGTATAAAAGTTAGATTCTAGATATAGAATATATCTTGGACTAGGAAAATGATAAGGAATATATTTATGGGTGCAATTTCTGGTATGAGTGTGAGTAGTTTCTACTTTATAGAATCAAAAAAGATTTAGAACTTACTGGTTTCAATATTATATATGGTGATTGTGATAGGTTTGGGTTTTGACATTGGAGCTAGGCTTTGACAAAGCGACTTCTTGTTTGTATGAATGAATGGTGATGAATAAAACGGAAATTATTATAATATCTTCAATTTCTATGAACAATACTAATTAAAAAAAGCAAAAAATATGAATAACATTGAAGAATCCTTATTCATTAAATGATTCATAGTATACATTAGGGTTTTGGTAGTATGTTAGGTTGCATTATCTTGTAATGACATATATCTACTTTAACATCATCGATCCCAAATTATCAATTGATTTACCTTTTAAAAATAAATATTGTAATCCATATTTTAAAATAAATGTAACAACTAATTCATTTGATATGCTTAGAATATATTTAATTTGTATGATGAATACTATTATAAGTTACAGTATCTGCATCTTATCTCAACAAATTAAAATGTCTTCTTCAAGAAAACCAAACATATTTTTCACATTTTTATGTTGAGGATAACTCATTTATAAGAAATTATCATATGTGGGGACCAAATGTGGGTCTTATAATATGTTAGACTCGAGACTTGAAAGCCATATAATTGTATTTTTAAAAGTTATATAAATATTCTATTGCTAGGAAAATATTGAAGCATGCATAAGAAACAAGGTTACCGACATAAAAAAGAACATAAAATCCACTTGTCACTTAAGCCCAAGGAAATCAAATGGAATATCGGTGATGGGGCGTATCATTCATTTTCTTTTGATTGTGAGGATAATCATAGACCCTTTTGCAAAAGAATAAATATCCTACAATGCTCTTCATGTTATCTTTGTTATATGGCTAATCAAACCATGCTATATGGTTATTCACATAGTAAGATTTTAACTTTTTTGTCTTAATGAATCTAATATGAATGAGATAACTTAAGTCGGTAAACTAATGTTTCCTTTGAGAATGACTTACTAGATACAATATAAGATAACTTTTTTTAAGGAAAAATGCATGCATTTTATTTTTGTTTCTATCAAAAGTGTTGTTGTTTTATCAAAAAAAATTATTAAAAACATCATTTATTAAGACAACGCTTATTGAAAGAAAGACATTGCCCAAAATGGGTTTTAGAGAATACATATCATAGAATAACAAAAGACTAGAAAAATTAAAAGAACAAATGAACATACCTTTGACATTTGTGACATATAAGGTAGTTCAAGATGGGAAGGCACTAATGGAAGAAGATGTCTAGCATGAAAGATAAGAGTGTTTCAAATGAGCCAAAGACGACTTCCTAGAAAACCACTTAAAAGGTTGTTAACTATATTAAGTACAATCGACAACCTTATATTTTCATGGACTTAGGCAAGTCATCCTTGGCTATCCAAATAATTCTTAAATCTTCATACAAGACCGCTCTTCCGTACTCTTTTCCATCACTCTTTGCACTTCTTCAAAACAACTAAATTTATCAAAATGATACCCAAAGGGGGCAAAATTCAAAAATAGATCTTGAATGCAGTAGAACTTAGTCGTTACACTTTGAAGTTTGAACAACAAGACTAAAACCCTATGTCTTTTCTATGGTGCGTCTTAATGTCACACATTGCACTCTCCATTGATATGCTTGTAGTTCTTCAATGACATCTATATATAAAGGAGTCAGGAATGAAAAGATGTGAAGTTGCAACAAGTATTGTTCCTACCCCTATGCTTACCATAATCAAGATGTCCACTTGTGAAAAGTGCTTCTTTTTTTTCTTTCACGAACATTTTCCAAATTAATCAATTTACCCATAAAAGAATATATTCTAGTCATCCATTTCATTGACATCCATCTAGATACAACTATTCGTCTTGGATGTTCACAAAGTTATCAGATAGATAGTATGTGATAGAACTTCACTTTTTTGATCGTTATGTACCTAATAATTCTGACTTGTTGGTATTCAATTCGGAGTTGACAAATATTGACCTCCTACTCAAAGATATTCCATTATGCCTTTTATTTTCCTTATTCTCCATGCATGTGTTTAAATACAAATCACAAATAGGGTATTTTGAGATGTTCATCTTGGTTTTCTAAGGCTCACAAAGTGATTTTGACCCCCTTTCCCCACCAACATTAATGGTGATTGATATTAAAGACATGAAGTGTCAACCCTTAATTTGAAGTCAACCCTTTGTGAATTTGTTCCATTTTGACTTTCAAATTTAGATCAAACTTAACATTTTATTCGTTTATATTTATTTATTCGTGATTTCCTATTTTATTTTACATATTATTATTCTAATATAACAGTAACATACTAAAACTCTTACATATATGATAACAAAGATTTGATGAAACAAGACATTTATTTATAAATCTACACTTTTGAGATTGGGACTATTTCTACAATAGCGTTTACATTTTACACCAATAACGTATACAAAACAGTGTACTTATTTATGTTAAGATGTATGTAAATGGTTCTAGAACGGAAAGAACCGAAAACCGCATTTGGCAATAATAGGAATAAAAAACGAACTGTAAGAAGAAAATGGTTGTGGTTGTAGTCGGTTAAATCAATTATTGGGACTAGAAAACCGAATAAATCGGAAAAAATACGGTGAGAACCGGAGAACGGGCAAGCACCGGGCTATTTTTAGAAGAAAAAAAAAATTGAAACAGGTGTTATTTTGTAATTGTAATTAAATTCAGGGGTTGCCCAAGATTGTTATTGTAATTAGTCATGCATGGCTTTGATAACATTTATGTGTGTCACCGTGAAACTATTATTTTTATCGTCCAACTGTCCAAGATTGTAATTGTATTATCCAATTATTGTAATTAGTCAATGACACGTGTTGTTTTGATTGTTCATAATTGTAATTATAATTAGTAATGCATGGCTTTGAAAACATTTTAGGTTTAACATCATACAAAGTTACATAAGATTCCAACCGAATATATTGACGTTTGTATCATAGTATGTCATTTACACCTTCGTCAAATTATTGGTGGCAAGTTATATAAAAAATGAACATGTGAAGTAGGATCAATTATGTCATTTAGCTTTGTTAGTTTTACAAACTCAAAAAAAATAACTATGTCAAGCTATATATAAGAGCATTTTCCATTAAAATATCCAAGTTCAAATACCAATTGTAAAGAACTCACGGGGTCCAAAATACAGGTACAATATAGTTAAGAATGCTTTGTTTGACATATTTAAACGTGTCGTAAATTTTATGACTGACTCGACAGAAGTAATGTCAACCTTTAGATCAGCCTGATGTTTTGGTTTTTGGAAGCGTTAGAGGGAAACACGTTTGTGTGGACCTTACAGAGGTATCTCATCGTGTGGGCTTGAGGGCATGGGGTTTCAAGGTAAGACAAGCTGTTTTAAAGGCAGCTACATGCAAGGTCACAAAATATGAGAAATCATGCATGGAAAAATCAATAAATGTTCATACCATTTGCGTTTGATATGTTTTGTTTGCTCGCTCCAGATGCGATAAAGCTTCTTAATAGAGTACAATAGATCATGCATAACAATGT